AATCTGTGCATTTTCCAAAGTCCTGTCTACTTAGTCTAAATCAAGAGGATGAGGCATCTCACACAGCATCTGGTGATAGAAGTGACTGTCACTGAGCAGTTGTGCTTTTTGACTGAAGGCAGGTAAGGGCTAAATTAGACCTATGAGGAAACCAGGTGTGTGCGAGAATGGAGACCTGGTGCCTAGCAAGCCTCACAGAGGTGTTTCACAGGGATGTTAGAAACAGCTAGTGAGGTACCAGCCTGTAGCAAGTGGGTGCTTATGCTGGGGAGTGATGTGATTTTCCCCCATATAGTGGGGACATGGTGCTGGCAGTGTGTGATTCAGCACACAAAGTGCCTGGGGACCTGAGGTGTGGCTGCATCAGACTCTCCATTGGGTCTGGTCTGTGGCCAACTCTGAACTCCAAAACCATATCTGGGAATTGTTGTGGGAGACTGTTAGTTGCCAAGTACCTGTGCCGGGACAATTTCTGACAGCTGAACAGCGTCCATGACCAGCTTTGTTGGCCACGGGGTGTCCCCTGGCCCTGTTGCCTTCACCGGCTCGCTTGCAGAGGAGGGTGACACAGTGCAGGCAGTGGTGCGGTATGCGTGCTGAAGGACAAGAGGTTGTCTAAGGCAGGTCAACTCCGCGATAAAATGCATGTGTCTTCTGAAAGAAGGAGCATACAAGAATTTAGCAATCTAGCTGTTTGTTAGTTTTGCATTTTTGAGTGTTTTCATATTTCTGTGACATGACTGAAGATAACAGCTCTTCAGTTAATACTGTGTGCAAAAGTCCCTCATTGCAAGTGCTGTTTTGCTTTCCCTTTTGCTAAAACACCTCTGTTAAACACCTGGCTTTTGGTTTTGATTGTTAGGCCCACACAGTACAGTTTTCAGTGTTTAAAAACTGGCTTCATGGTTCCCTTGTAAATAACCAAAAGATTGTATTCTGTACCAGAACCAGGAGTAAACATGTTCTGATAATAACAGCTGGAGAGAAGCCTGGCTGCCGAGCCATGGAACAGCAAGAGCAAAACTCTTTCTTGGATAACTGTTAAAATATGTTGTTATAAATAAGGAACAGTTTTCCTGACAAAACATAACTGCTATTAAAAATGGAGATGAGATGATGTGATGGATCAGTGTTTATTTTTATAAAAGTGCTATCTCTTTTACCTATCAACAAAATTTCTCTATGTTTAAATGGACTGCACTGCTTTTCTTTCTTGACAGTGCGAAGCTTGTGAACTCACAACTCCAGCAATCATCTACCACTCAGGAAAATTAGCTTTTGAATTTACAACAACTCTTCATTTGGCTGTCTTGGCTGCAGTTTATAGAAGTAATTAATTTTGTACTTTGTTTATGTGTTTTTCACATGCTCAATAAGCAATGGGAGGTTTGAGAGAGAATATAAATCTGTAATTTTATTTTAAGGATTTTTTTGTGTTGCTCTTGTATTATTACTCCTTTTGTCATTCTAATACATATAGAAGTCAATTTAAGTCACAAGAACCCCTGAGTGTCATATTCTGCCACTTCAGCATTTTAATAAATATTACTTCAGTCAAGAAACAGTCCTTTTCATTTCAAAGGGACCGCTCACTGAAGTAGTTGCTAGTAGGCATGGATAAGAACAGCAGACGCTGGCTGGCAGCCTTTGACTTGCATGCAATTCCTTGAATGAGTAGATGCTCACCAACATGACTGAGGAGTGCAAAGCCAACTCCATAGCTTCTGTCTATACTACAATTTACTGTGCACCTTTCTGTGCAGTCTTTTATAGCTATATGGTGAAACTGAAAGGCCAGCGTACACATTAGGTGATTTAAGCTATCTCCGTGAGTGGAAAATGTTCATTTGGGGACTGTAGATCATCAATAAGTTGCTCATGTGTGAAATGAAAAGCCACCTTGAGGTCATGTTCTACTAAATTCATCCTGAGCTCAGGCAATTTGGAAACACCTGGCTAAGCCTACTAATTATTTGATTGACTGCTATGACTTGAAAAACAAGATAGAGATATCAGACAATAATGACTTAATCTGATCTTTTAAACGCTGCTGCTTTCTCAAATAGAGAGATCAGGGTCTGTAGCAAATGCAACTGCCACAGGGCAGCATAGCCTACTGGTCTGCAGTGATAATAGCTCTCTGCGAGGAGCCTTCTTGATCTGATGGGTTGCATGCCAAGATCTTCAGACAACCAGATTCACAAGACATGACTGGCCATACTGGGGAGGCAAGGAATAGCGGAGGTTGAAGAGCGACGCAGCCACCAGTGCTTTCTTAGGGTTTCTGCCTCCTTACCGCAGGATGGAGCTGGCTGCAGGGGACGTGCAGCAGGTTCCCAAGATCAGCCAGTGCCATCAGCCTCAGCCACTTTTCCTCCCACGCTGAGGGTTCTGATTACACAGCAATCCCCGTGGCAGTGCTGGCTCGCCTCTGATTACATGATCTAAGAACCATGAGCTACTGAGAGATTAGAAGAGTGTATCAAAAAGCATTTGAAAACTATGATTCTTCTGATTTTAAGTTGCAATTTTTGCTGATTCACCAAAATCTCTTATTTTAAAATGTTAGATATTGCTTTGACCTGTCTGTCCAATGCTACGGGCTTACATGGTTGTAATTTCTTACTTGCCCAATATAATTTTTTTTAACAAAGTCACCAATGCTGTGTCCCCTGTTAATGCTACTGACATTGTACTGGTTTTAGCCTAAAAAAGCTAGAGTCTGTTTTTCAAGTGGGTTTGCGATGCCTTACGAATTTTACACATGTAAAAACAGTATTTAGGTCACGCAGATATGCATTTTGTATAGGCAAAAGGGATAGATGAACTGTATGAATGTGATTCATGTGATGAGGTTCTCCTCCCCCTCTACTCTGCCCTGGTGAGGCCACATCTGGAGTAGTGTGTCCAGTTCTGGGCTCCCCAGTTCAAGAGGGACAGGGATCTTTTGGAGAGAGTCCAGCAGAGGCCACAAAGATGATGAGGGGCCTGGAGCATCTGCCTTACGAGGAGAGGCTGAGAGAGCTGGGACTCTTCAGCCTGGAGAAGAGAAGACTGAGAGGGAACCTTATCAATGTCTATAAATACTTGAAGCGTGGGGGCCAAACGGATGGAGCCGGGCTCTTTTTGGTGGTGGCTGGTGACAGGACAAGGGGCAATGGGCAAAAGCTGGAACACCGGAAGTTCCAGACAAACCTAAGGAAAAACTGCTTTACTATGAGGGTGGCAGAGCACTGGGACAGGCTGCCCAGGGAGGTTGTGGAGTCTCCTTCTCTGGAGATGTTCAAAACCCACCTGGACGCTTTCCTGTGCAACCTGGTGTAGGAAACCTGCTTTGGCAGGGGGGGTGGACTAGATGATCTCCTGAGGTCCCTTCCAACCCCTACCATTCTGTGATTCTGTGATTTTGGTAATCTATACCTGGGCATTTCTGAAATACATGTTGTGAAGGAGCTATCAATAAATAGTAAATAACAAAGAGGTTCCAAATTCTTAACCAAAACCTTGATCCATGTGCTCTATCAATTAAGGACGCTCTCCTGTCCGTTTTCAAGGGAGTTTTTCAATCTGTTGCAGTTATTAACTATAAATTAATACTGTTGTAAATTAAAATTAACCTGTCATATAGGATATCTCAAAGAGTTCCTCCTGTGACTTTGCATGAGAAATGCCAGAGATGTGAGATATACATTAAATTGTATTAAAACATAGCTAGAGAGTGCACATTAGGTTCACCTTATATCCTGCAGGTACCTACTCATCCAAAATGAAGATGTGGAGTCCTCAAAGTCACAAAACCCTCTAATCTGAGAGAGGAAGGAGTGACAGCATCTCTCCCTCATCTGATGGCGCTGGGGCTAACAAACCCAAGAGGAGCACCTTGCCAGGTGTACATAGGGCTTCTCTTTCAGGACTCACTTCATCTCACCTTGCTCTCAGCACTGCGTCCTTCACACGTGCCCACAAAACAAGCCAGTGTCATCTCCAGAGTGTGTGCTAACAGCACACTGACGGGTCTCTGGTGGAGATGCATACCAGTGCTCAGCCTTTCCGAGTCCTGTTGCTCTCTTCAGCATGAATTGGGCAGTAAGCTTGCCATACCTGGGCTTGTGCTAGCCCTGCAGGTTGCTGCTAGAGTAGTCATCCTCAGAGAGTAAGTGAGCAGAGCTAGCAGGGGGCTCAGCGTGCCCAACCTGCACAGCCTTTTCCCCCAAGCCCTCCTTATACCACCGCTTGTGCTAGAGCAGTGCTGTAGCATTGCACCATCCGCAGTCCTCTTGATAAAGAATTAATAACACTTAATGAATGAAGAAGCTTGGAAGGTGGAATGAGGTTTGAAGCTGTGGCTGGTAGGCTAACAAAGACAGTGTGCTGTCTGTGCTGCAGCTGGGACATGACTGAGCTCTGCTGTGCTCTGCTGTGCCCACTCTGAGGTTGAGGGGCCAGCTGGAAGCCCCAAAAAGCTCCAACACCCCAGCCCTTCCAGAGGTCCAGTCCTATGAGTCTCTGATTTTGTTGTGGCATAAGTTATCATAAACTGTTTGGGATGATAAGAGCTTTCTGAGAGTTCACAGTCTAGTTATTAACTTACTACGATGTCTTAATCTGTATGTGTGAGCTACTCCCACTTTAGTAAAGCTCTAGAGACTGATGTGAGCCAACAGGAACATGGCTTTTTGCCATGCTCCCTACGGACACCACTACTGTTTTATTAAATAAGTTGATTTAGAAGAAATCATCATAGAATTTAATAACTTTTACAGCTGACCTAATTTTCTCTAGAAAGATTTAAGCTTTTCTGGTCGACTTGACAGTGTGTCAACTCAGCATCAAGAATTTCTGCCTCTTTTCTGCTGCATGACTAGCATCCTGCCACACTGATCTAAAGTGAACTACAGCAGGGGGAACTGTCGTTTAAGAATACTAGAAAAATCAGTGTAATTGTTTTACTTAAATAATTATATTGAAAAAAGTTACTCAATCTGTTTTTCTCTTCTCAGTTAGTAGCCTCCATTGTGTTTATCAGCTTTGGCGTGGTAGCAGCCTTCTGTTGTGCAATAGTTGATGGAGTGTTTGCAGCACGACACATAGTAAGTACAGTGATTTTCTGTCATCTTTCATTTTTTATTACTTATGTCATTTCTAGCAAGAAAGCTAAAGAAAAAGCTAAAGAAAAAACATTTTCTTTTGTTTTATGTCTAGCAGTATATTAGGTTTTTTTGATGGTTTTCCTTGTTGAAGAAATGTCCTTTGGCAAAAAATCTACAGGAAAGTCCATCATGCCAATGCCCAGAGATGGTGCCAACTGCTCATTCATCTCTCGGGGAGTTCCAAATACAGAGGTGATGATGTAATGACAGGCATGCTAAAATGCATACTTGCTAAGGACAAGGGAAGACACTTCAGCCATCACCACCATTTGTTTCCTTTTGCACAAAGCCTTTGTGAGCAAGGTCAGGATTTGGAATGCACCAGATAGTGATAAGCACCAGAAGTCCCCGTGGGATCTTTAGAGAGAAGTGAATTGCAACAGCACAAAGGAAACATTTTGTTGGAGCAAAGACAGCAGAGGAAGTGGCAGGCTTTGGTTAGAGGTAGTGTGAAGGGGGGAACCTGCTGAGTGAGAAACAACCTAAAATTTGCCATCAAAGGGTGGGTGGGTCATTTAACCACAGTGACTAGTACTTCCAAGTGTGTCTTCAAAACCCAGTCCTCCTTCTTGCCCCAAACCTATTGCCATCTCTGCTTCAAAAGAACATTTATAGGCACTCAGTTCTGCAGTTGCAGTAGTGTTACTAGTAGCTCATTACTGTCTGTGAGTGCCTAGGAGTCTTTCTCATGACCTTCTTGTAAAAGCACCAGTCAAATTTAGAACACAGCTTTTATATTTTGTCTCACAGAGTTCAAATTAAAATATTGCACAGAAAGGATTAATAGAAGAACAAGACAGACTGGGTTGTGGGGTCATTTGAATATGCCAATTTACATGTTAGATATGTGTTGTTTGCTGTTCTGTCTTTTGTGATAGAATACCTAGAAGTCAATCTAAACTCAACCTTTTAATTTAGCTTTGATTTCCAAAACCATCAGGAAATTATTATTTATATGTTTTAATAGACAGTAGAACTCAGATGTAGTGTGCTTTATAATACAGCAGGTATGATGATATATGATACCCTCGCTGCTATGAAATATCATGAGCCTGTTCATCTTTCTGCTTATATTCATTGCGGGGCAGCATAACACTACTGGCATCAGTAGAACTCTACTTAATTTTCTGTTAGCAAATGCATCGGAATAATTAGACTTTGGATTACTTGGAGCATAAAGCTGTAAACTGATTTCTTTTTTACTGTTATTGAAGAGGACTTTAAACCAAATCTGGGCTTCAGAACCTCACGCACATTGCGCAAGGAAGGAGACACTCTGGATTGTAATAACGTTTTGTGCTATCCAGACCCTGCATGATGCTGAAGTGGCCTGCTTTTACTTGGATTCCCCCTTCTGTTGCTCTGGATGACACCTGGTATAACTTTGTCTCTGATTAGCATAAGCCCAGGGAACCTTTTCATGGGAGCTGCTTAAAAGAGGAGAGGAGCAGATTCCTGGTTAGGTTTCCTGCTCCTGAAAATTCAGTGGTTGTGCCCCAGAAAACCATTGCCACTTACTCAAATGTTGGACCTGTCTCCTTATTTCCCAAGAACCAGACTTATTTTTGTCCTGCTTTGATGTGATCATTAGGAAGTGTTCAGGTGGCATTTGTACAGTCTTACACCATATAACTGCAACACAACCATGCAGCCATGGTGCCACCTTCTCTGAGGTGAGTTACTGTGTCAGAGGACTGTGTGCTCAGTCTCAAACACAGAGGCAGGCATCACCCCTGTCATCTTTCTAGGTGTTTCCTTTGTCTGTTTGCACTCTTTTGGCTTTAAGTTCTTTTCACATGCATTACTTAGGTATTCCAGAAATAATACTGCTTCCTATCTGGATCAAACAACAATATAATATTACAATATTATTATTATTATACCCTTATATCTCAAGAAACAGTGTCTCATACATAATACCTAGAGTTTATATTTGCCTGCTATTGTAACATAAATAGCTGGGTGGCATTGCTTGCTGTCATGGCATGCCCTTGAGGTGTCATTACGGACTAAACATGATTTGGTTCATCGCAGTGCTCTCCAGGGAGAAAGTGGGCCAGAGAGTTCTTATGGGCAGAGAACCAAGGCAGAAAGTCATTGCACTCACCCAAGAAGAAAGCATCTTACAATCCTGGGTACAGTTCTGTATCTGGTTAAGCCAGTGACTGGGTATGAATGCATCATTTGGGCAGAGCTGGAGGCTGGAAGGGGCTGGTCACCATCCAGACATCCCTGAGGGTGCTGGAGATGTACAACCCAATGACATGAACCTGCTTCAGTCACGGCATGGCATACTTCATGGAAATCCATTTCCAGTTGCTTACTTTTGGTCCGAGTTTTTTTTACCACATCTGTCTCTTCTGGTCTCCCTTCACATACTACAGAACAAAGAAATACTTAGTAGTATCATTTGATGGAAAATTAATTTACATGTCAACATGGTCAAACTCACTTAATCTCATTCTCCTCCTCTGTCTAATAAAATAGGATCAGGTGAAATAAAAGTGCACATCTCCTAATATCTCTGACTAACACACTTGGGGACATCTGTAGGGGTGGTAGTGTAAGTAGTGTAAGTAACTCCCAATTTGATTTACAGGAACAGTGAGGCCTTATCAAAAAAAGGTGTGTCATGCAGGCTACAGTGTCATTGCCACTGTGTTAAGGTCCCCTTTGTGTCACAGCTAGTTTCCTTCAGGGAGAGCAGTAAAATCACGTTCAGTCCATTCTCCACAGGCCAGTACCAGCCATTTTCAGACCTGTGTTGTGCTGTTGCTACTTTGGCCACTGCCTTTGGGGGACAACTGTTGGAGAATCAAACTAAACTGTCCTCCGTTCAGGGGAAGGACAAACTCTTGGCATGTCAGAGCAGGTACCCTGGTCTATACTAAAGCTGGAAAGTTTTTGTGAGGAGGAGTTGGGTAACGTTCACTTTTCTGTCTCCAGTATCACAGTGCTGATACCAGGGCTCCAGGTCCCTTTTCTCCTGGCGAGAGAAATACTAGCTGAAGCCAAGCAGGCTTCAGACCAGCAACAAATACAACTTCCTTCACATCAATTTGGAATAAGAAATATCTCCTGGTTTTCATTTTATTTTTAACTTCATTCAAGTTGTGAAGGATGTGAAGAGGATAAATAATGTTATTACAGATTTTTCTTAGTGTGTGCCTCCTGTGGAATGGAGACTATTACTGTTGCCCATTTTCTTCTGCTCTTGTAAAACTCTGGATAGCATAATAAAATACTGTTTTGTTTTGTTTCTAAGAAGGCATAAAATTGAAAAAAAGTCTTCCAGGAAAGGGATATATTTCAGAAAAGAGATATTTGAATTATTTAAGACTCATTTTAAAACACTTTGTTTAATAGAAAGCTCTGGAGTACAGCACTTATAAAACTAAGAACACTGAAGGAAAAGTAGCTTGATTTAAAATAGCAGTAGCTTACTTTAACAATAATGCAGATATAATTTACTGTATAAAGTTAATTTCAATCCTGGTCCCTTCAGCGACACTTTTCACATTCAGAAAAAAAAAACCAAAAAACAACCCAGAATCAAAGGAAGCAAATCAAAGCTGGAATTAGTGTGTAGTGATGTTATTTCAGAAAAATACGGTGATCACAGGAATCCATTATCTGCATTTGTGTTTACTTGAGACATTCTGTTACTTAGCAGATGAGAATAGCTCAGCTGTGCAACAGATAATGGAAATCATTCAACAGCGTCCCCTTACCACACAGGGAGAACCCCTGTCCCACCTCACATACACATTCTCTGCGGTACCTACTACCCTCCTACCCATGACTGCGAGGCTTGACCATTGCCACAAGATCCTTAGCCTTGCAGTTATGTCCTGGGCAGAACCTAAAATAGCCAGCAACAAGGAATCCAGTTATGAAGTGAGGAAATTTCCTGCAAGAGCTTCCTGAGAAGGTTAGGAATGAAAAACAGGTAACAAAAGCAGGGGCAGATAATTGAAGCTGTGGAGACAAATGCTTTGTATCATCTTTTCACATGCTCAGCTAGGAATCATGGAATATCAGTACTGACACATTTTCCTGAAGTATGGGATAAAAGGAGACTCTAATATGCTTGAAAGTGCTGGGAGAAACCAAGGGCTCAGGCAGGCTAAGTCCTCTCTGCTTGACTATAAGAAGTGCTTTTTGGTCTTGTTGAGTGGCATTCACAGAACAAATCTGGACAGATTTATTAGAGGGGATCCACTAAAAAGAAAAAGCAGAGCTGAAAAGCTTGGAATAATACCAATGAGAACACCGGAAGATATAGCAGTGAAATCACAACTTGGGACTGTTGCCATTGTCCTTTCTCTGCGCATTGCTTTGGCTTTGTCTTCTCTATAACAATGGTGAAGGTGGTTCAATACAGCAATAAATACACTCTTAAGCCTTCCTTTCTCCTCATTCAACGAGCCCAGTTCCTTCAACCCGCTGTCCTGGTACATTCTGTCCTTCAGTCTTCTGACCCTGCACTGTTCATACTGTAATTTTTCAAGGTCTTTCTTATATTGGGACGGGATTTAAATTGGACACCATACTGAGATGTGGCCTCATGAGCATTCAGCAAAAAGGAATAACCACTTCCTACTGGTGAAGGTTTGCTAATGCAGCCCACTACACAGTTGGCCATCACTTTTGCAAAAACACCCTGATAACATATGTCCAACTTGTCCACAAACATGTGCATTTTTTTTCTTTACCAAGCTGCTACCTAGGCAGCTTGAACTGTTGCCTGGGGTTATTCCAGCTCAGATGCAGGATTTTACATTGATGCTGCACAAAAACTGAGCCAAAGAATTTAGATTCAGATTCAACTATTTTTAAAGATGCGCTAGATTTCTCTTCTAAATTTCTGTCACCAGCAGAAAGTAATAAAAACAATAGCTTTTACAAGCAGCCAACAACATCGCTTACTTCATTACTTT